AGTAAATAAACGACAGGCGGGTTACAGATTGAATATTGTCAGCACAGGCACAAAGACAGTTACAAACTAACTTTCGACGAAGTTAGATTTGTATCGCTTTAACTATTTACGATAATTATTTTATATTTTATAAACACTTTTTTGTATAAGTGCTCTTTTCTGATATACGAGTAGGTGTTCATGTTTGTGCCTTACAATTTGGTAGTGGTAGTGCATATTCGAGGAGTTATAGTTATTGTGTAGTATATTAGGTAGGTACTTTAAAAGTTTATTAAATAGTAAAATATTGGTGTCTTTATAAATTTAATAAAAACAATTTAATAGTAGAATTATATTGTTACAATAGTAATGGATTCAGAGGCGGGTCCAAGTGAAACCCAATTACGTCGGCGAAAGCCCTTATCAAAGGATGAAAAGAACATTATATGGAAAGTGTATGATGGGCTGAAACAGAAACTTCCTACAAATGAAGCTGTAAACCGCAGTTCTTTTTTAACTGGAGTATCTGTTTCAACAATTGAACGTATTGTACGCGAAAAGACAAAAAAAGGCTCCTTAGAAGCCCCTAAAACGCATACCCGTGGTCGAAAATTGTTGAAATTGGACGATAACCAAAAACAAATCATTCGAAAAACTACATTCTTTTTTTTTTTTTTTTTCGAAAACAGCCCCAACACTTAAAGTTGTTCTTACGAAATTAATAGAAAACGAAGAAATTCCATTAATGAGCCGTGAAACTTTACGAAAAATTTTATGGGGCCTAAAATTTCGTTTTGTCAAACGGTGTATGAAATCAATTTGAATTGAAAGGTCAGATATAGTGTCCTGGCGACGGCGTTATTTACGAAGTATTAAAGAGTTTAGAGCCGCTAAAAAAAGATATACTATCTCGATGAAACGTGGGTGAATGCTGGACACACAGTATGTAAGATATGGTAAGATACTTCTGTAACTAGTCATCGCCAAGCTTTTATAGAGGGATTATCTACAGGTTTGAAAGCACCATCAGGTAAAGGATAGCGCCTAATTGTTACCCATATCGGAAGTGACAGTGGATTTTTGGAAAATAGCGCTCTTGTGTTTATATCGAAAAAAACAGGAGACTACCACGAGGACATGAATGCGGAATGCTTTGAAAAATGGTTTACTGAAGTATTACAGCGTGTAGAACGAAATTCAGTTATTGTACTAAATAACGCTTCTTATCACAGTCGATGAGTTGAACGCATTCCGATAATGTCCAGTTAGAAAAGCGGATATGCAAACCTGGCTGCGGGATAAAGCAATAACATTTACTGATGATATGCTTAAAGTGGAATTAATGGACCTAATAAAGGAACACCGCCATAAATATATTCAATATGTTGTCGACACAATGGCTCGTGATCGTGGTATTACGGTACTAAGACTTCCCCCTTATCACTGCGAATTCAATCCTATTGAACTAATTTGGGCGCAAGTGAAAGGGTTTGTAGCTCGAGAAAATAAAACTTTTAAAATAGCCGACGTTCAAAGTTTATTAAAAACCGGTATAGAACCTGAATATTGGCAGAATGCTATTTCCTATGTAATTAAGGAAGAAAATAATATGTGGCGCTTGGACGGTATGATCGAAACGGTAATTGAACCTTTAGTCATAACTTTAAGTTCCGACGATAAAGACGATTCCAGTGATATTTCTGCAAAATCAATGGATTACGAAACTTCATAGATTTAGAATTCAAGTAAGTGATACCAAGCTTAATTTACATATTTTTATAATAAACAAAATACAATTATAAACATAGAAGAATTATTATAACAAAAATAGATAACCAACCTACTTTCATCTAGTAATATTCACAAATACCCATTTAATTTGCCAATATAGTATTTCTGCGACACTGGACGAGTGCATTTTGATATGATAACGATACCTTTTGCAGTTTTAAGGCGCACCTTCTTCAATATTTCTAGTATAATATCCCATTTAATTTGCCAATAGTTTTTATACGCCACTGGCGTAATTCATTTTGGCAATAAACATGCATTTATGACCAGTTGGCATATGTGATACCGATAACTTCTGCAGTTTTAAGCGCGTGATTCCCTTCATTATGCTCTGGTATAGTATTATTGTTGTACGTGAACAGGGATGAATCACCTTCTTCAATATTTTGTCCGAGTATAGCATACGTTGTTTTCGGATTTGGTTTTTTTTTTACTAAATCGTTAAAGGAAAATACTTTTTTATTTTCCCGTGTTAGTTGTAGGGGTTGTAATGGAAAGAAAACATGCAAATATGTTTAGTTTTAAAAAAATTCCTAGGCAAGTCAATGATTCCACGTGGTTCAGATACCAAAAGTCAAAGTCATTTTTTAAGAACTTTAAAAAAACTTAAGACGTCTTTACAACCTCTAAGCACACTTCACGTACTGTTTTCAATATTAAAATTAATGTAAGGAACTATATTTTTCCCGAAAGCTACGTTTAAAGTAAACCGCGAATATACTGCATTTTGTATGGGCGAATGTCAACCTTAATTAAAATATATTTCTTATAAATTGTTTACTGAACCAGCAAGAGCACAAACCTATCGGTTGGTTTAATTTTTGGACATCATACACTCTTGTCAGTTTTAATAACAAACAATTTTGAGAAAAAAATCTGAGACATCGATTTTTGATTTAAATTTAATGTATTTTTACATAACAATGAAATATACAGGGTAAACCATTTGTGAGTAACAATGTCATCGACAATTTTTTTAAATGTAAATTTCAGGACGATTCTAAAAATATAACATACTTAATAGATTTGAAGATACAATAATTTTAAAATCTGTATTTTTGAAGACCTTTAATTAAATTAAAATAAAAGAATAATACAACAGTAACAATAAATTGCCACACAATAAGTGTTTTCGAATTGTCTTCCTTCTTGTGCTTGACAGGGTCCTAAGCGAACAATAAATTCCTGCTGAACTTTATTAATGGTTTCCTGCGAAATGTTATTTATTTCTTGCCTTATTCTATCTTTTAAATCATTTATGTCATCGGGTTTACTTTTATACAAGATATTTTTAGATGACACCACAAAAAATCTAATGGCGTGAGATCCGGTGACCTTGGTGCCTACTCAATGAATCCTTGTCTACCGATCCACTTATTTGGAAAAACTTTGAACAATGGCTGTATAATGTGGCGGTGCCCCATCTTATTGATACCACAGAGTTTCATCGATATTTCCGGGAATGTTTGCACTAGGAAATAAATTCATTAAAGTTGGCATCGATAAGTTTATTTAAAAATGCAGATAATTTGGCAAGTTTGCACTTCCATCAAAAAAATAAGGTCGAACAATTCCTGCCCAAACATTAATTTTCTGTGGATATTGAGGGCGATGTTTCTCATCAATTAAGAATTTTCCTTTGCTCAATATCTACAATTCTATCTGTTGACTACTGTTTAATGTAAAGGTGCATTCATCAGAAAAAATAATGTGGATCAATAAAAGTGGATCATTATTACTTATCCATCAAAATTTCACTAAATTCCATTCTACGATCCTGGTCGTCATCTGAGAATTGTTGTACAAGGTGTACCTTAAAGGGATGCCACTTGTTATATTTTAAAACTTTATGAATAGTAGTAAAAGGAACATCATGTTCTTGACTAACTTGCCGAACGCTGTTTTGTGGATTTTCTTCCATAGCCAATAAAACGTTTACTTTTGTATCCTCAGCAAGTGCTGGATGGCCTGATTTAGGTGGATCTTCTAAGGTACCAAACTCCCCAATTTTTGTTTTTTCAATTTGGCTCACTGTTGACTGACTTATAGGTTATTCTGGATATTCATTATTAAACACAGCACATACTTCTTGTTGAGTTCGCATCTTATCCCCACAACCAATTAACATAAGAACATGAAACCTTTGTTTTATAGATAAACGCAACAAGCAAAATTAGAATAATTAAACTGGTACTACACTTCACAAGTCTCAATGTCATTAGTGAGTATTAAAGAGTAGCCTACTGAGTTATTATCACAACTTTTAATATCTGACAAGTTTTTGATGATACACAAAGGTATGCCAGTATTAAATTACCGAACACAAGTATGATATATTTATGGAATCTTCTTGAAATTTAAAAAATACAGGGAGAACCATTTAAAAAAAATTGTCGATGACATCGTTAAAAATGGTTTGCCCTGTATACTTCATTACGTAAAAATACATTATATTTAAATCAAAAATCGACCTGTCCTCAAAATTGTTTGTTTAGCTTAAAATGAATTTATTCCATACTGTATGTACACAGTGTATACATATATTTTAATAAGACCCTGTATAGAGAAACAGGCACATTAGTGTGTGGACGTTTCACATATCACTGAAATGTCAGAAAATATTTTAAATAAAAGTTCTAGAGTTTACAACGTTGCAAACTTATAAAATACTGTGAAATATACAGGATGTAACTTTAAAGAAGAACAGCTTAAACGTTTAATTTTTAAATGATTCCCCTGTACATTCTATGACTGATTGTTATGTACAAAAATGATGTATCAAATGCAGTAAAAAATGATGGACTCATTGAAATTTCTAATTATGCCATCACACATAATACTATGTTGATTGACCTCCTTGTCTGACTGGAAATCCATATTTGAAATACAATGTGGTTGGAAAATTATTGGCACAACAGTCTAGATTATGTCACTTTGTTTTGACCAACCTTTAAGTGTTAATAACAAAGATTTTTAATATTTGTGACACACTATATTTCCCTAAATTTGCACATTTATTGTAAATCGCTTTAAAGTTATTATAAACATATTTTGCTAATTTATTAGATGTATTATCATCATTGTTATATATTAAGGTGATCTAAAAACAATAAATTTTATGTTGATATTTATCATTGTTAACTTCTATCTCTCTAAATTGAAGCACACTAGTAGTCACTCCTAAGAAAATAATTCTCGCATTGAAAACATCAAAATTCAAACACACTCACTTGAACGTCAGTTCCTAGAGGTCCACATCCCTCGGGCTTTTTAGGTTTTGGTTTTTTCTGTCTTTCATTATTGAGCATATTGAGGGTGATTCCCGATTTCAAATTCGGCTGGTACTGGAGTTCCGGCGGTAGAAAAACCCTTGTGTTGAAAAATTCTGGTTGCGGTTGAAAATACATTAATGGAATGCGCGTGTCACTTGGAAAATCCTTTAAGTCGTAATTTGTCGATCGGGTAAGTAGAAGGCCAGATGCTAGGTCGCAAAGGGCCCATAATTTCTTTAAAGAAAAATATACTTTCAAGATAGCTACAATGTTAATGGTTTACTCAAAATACAATTAAAACATAAGAATATACACTATTCAAAACAAACAAGAAGGCACATCTTTCTTTGATAACATTTTATTTATGCTAAAGTTTTGTGTATTATTGTTTAAAATTAGTGTCAAAACATGTAAATTGCAAAAAAATAAGGCATGGATATAGAATCAAATTATTTATATTGCTAGAAAACTTTCTTACCTGCGTTGTTGCATCCAATAAAAAAGACCGTTTTACCAGTATAAAATATACAGTGTGTCTACTTCAGTTGGAACCATATGGAAAATTTATTATTGGTTTTGTGAAAAAATTTGTAGAGTGGCGGGATTAATTGATCTAAGTGCCAAAATTTCGTGAATCTGAATTTTTTCACCAAAATAATCTGTGTCAAGACCAATGCACAGCTATATGATTTAATTGCCAATGCGCTTTACTTTCGTTTTATAGGCCGTCAAAAGGTATTCAGCTGCTAAAAGCGTGACCCGTCGCACATCTAACAGATCTAAGTGCCACGAATGGCTAAACAAAAACGTGTCGAATCCTGCCAGTATTTTATAAAGGATTTCCCCAAGCTACCTTTTAGAAAACCGCGAGTTGACACGTCTGTTACAATGGTTTTTGGTATCACAATTTATTTGAACTCAACTTTTACAATAACTCAATTCAACTGATACAATAACTCTAACTGATAACATTCACATGTAACGTCTATCATAAAACTGCCAACTGAGGTCAGGTCGTCGCCTTATATAGCTTGCCTCGACCTTCTACAACCTTCTCGAACAATCTGGACTTTTCTTTGACAAGGAATGACATTTCGAGACATTTCGGCAATATTCTATCTTCTTCATTTACTCGTACCTTTACTTATGACGACCGCAACACACTGTAGAGGGATGAGTAACATTCCACTTCTTTTTCTATCTGTAGGTTTCCTATGATAGCCGCAGGCTACTGCAGGGTGCTGTGTAACACGTGTGACTCCCTTTACTTGAAATCGAAATGCACAGACCTCACTGTTGCAAATCAATCCAAACTCATCTTGAATTGCACCACAGACAGGTGGAAAATGTGTTCAAAGCTACAAAGCATGATGCTGAAAATGACACTTTACCAGAAAGCGACACATGTACCATGATTATAGACTTACAAAAAGTTTTTGTCCTCTCGTAACTTACACACACTAGTAGTAGTCGCCAATTGTCGTGCTACAACTTCGGCATCCATGGATATGGATCATGGAGATAGATCACTTCCAAGAAAGCACATATTGGCACTTAGATCTTTCCTATTTTCAATGTCAATTTTTTTGCAAAAATATTTTATTTTTCATGTTATATTTGACTGTTTGTATTGAACAATGTCTATGTCATTAAAAATAAAAAAAATTGTTTGTTTTCAATGAGGGACAGTTTTTTTTTATTTTCCTGAGAAAACGATTTTTGGCACTTTGATCAATTAGCCCCGCCACTCTACATTTATTTTTGATAAAAAGTTCTGCATGGTCCAAAACTTAAAATGCAACCATCAGATATCATTTTTTTAAGCCGTATTCGAGGTTTGTCAAAAAAATCTTTATTTTTGACAAACCTCGTATACGACTAATAAAGTTTAATATCTGATGGTTGTATTTTAGGTTTTAAACCATGCTCTATATGAAGAATAACTTTTCTCATATGCCACCAAAGGGCTACATAAGTTAGCTGCATATGGAAAACTTTTTTATTATTAATTTTAGGAAAAAAGTTATTCTTCATAAAAAGTTCTACGACCTAAAACCCGAAATTCAACCATCTGATACCAAATTTAATTAGTCGTATACGAGGTTTATCAAAAATAAAAGTACTTTACTTGAAGAAATTTGATTTGTTTGATTTTACCATGTTATTAATTAAACTTTGAAGTGATGTTGATATTATAGTTCATAAAAATGATACATAAACTGTTTTTGTAATGATTTACTATATTAAAAACTATTGAACAATAAAAAAAGTAAATGTTAAAAAATAATGAACTATGGCTAGCAAATCGTTAATAATAAATGATCGGCGCTGCTCGGAAAACGATCAGGAGACACGGTTCGCGAGTGTTAATCACGACGCGCGACGGCGAGATATTTAAAAGTAACAGGGCCGTCTTGATGAAAATTGTCCAAGCCGGCCACCTTGAAAGGGTCCATTACTCTTTAGCAAAATCAATATTTTTTAACGCACCTCGTATACGGCTTAAAAAATGTATGTCTGATGGTTGTATTTAGACCATGCAGAAATCTTTGTCGTAAAATTAATAATAAAAAAGTTTCCTATATGGTGCCGACTTAATTGGACACACAGTATAACAAGCCTAAATTAGATTTTTATTCTACAATATCTTCATAACATAAAAAAAATAAAATGAATAAAACTCAAAGCCAATATCACATAAAATACTAACGACCGTTTCCCTTCAGAAAACAACTACCCCTTTGGCTAATACCGCAACAGGTATTGAATTATATCCGAAGGAAAGACAGCAGAGATAGAAATTAAATTTTAACATTCTCTACCTTTAATTTTGCTCACTAAGGAGAACATCATTCTTGGACCGGTTTCGTCCTTATTAGGACTCTTCAGCAAGAAACAGATAGGTTCTCAATTCCAGTCTCTAATGGAATTAACAAATGCTACACATTTCACCAGTATACAATAAAGTTGGTTATGAAATGTGTAGCATTTGTTAATTCCATTAGAGACTGGAATTGAGAACCTATATATTTCTTGCTGAAGAGTCCTAATAAGGACGAAACCGGTCCAAGAATGATGTTCTCCTTAGTGAGCAAAATCAAAGGTAGAGAGTGTTGAAATATAATTTCTCTCTGCTGTCTTTCCTTCGGATATAACTCAATACATGTTGCGGTATTAGCCAAAGGAGTAGTTGTTTTCTGAAGAGAAACGGTTGTTGGTATTTTATGTGATATTGGCTTTGAGTTTTATTCATTTTATTTTACGTCTATCACATATGAGTTTGATTTATTTTCGTTTTTATAAAAAAAATCCCTATATACAATCACTACAATCAGAAAATTCAAATAATTATTTTGTCCATCTGGCTTGTATTATTCGAAACATTGTGAATCAGTGTAAGCAGAAATACTGTTACAACGAACAAATCAGCTGATGATAAAAGACAGGAACAAAAATAAGGACACAAAAACAATACATAACATGCTTCACAAAAGTCAATTTGCTGAAGAACATGTTAATTAGAGCAATGTAATATTTACTGACGAATCCAGATGTAGATTCTGTTTTAATCATACTGATGGAAGTGCTTTGTGGTTTGGAGTAGGATAACTTTGAATGGGTAATAACTGATGTTATTCCTGAGGGGTCTATGATGGGAAATAGATACAAATGTAGGTCCAAAATTAATTCTGCTGAGTAGTGATGTGTCGCTTTGAAAAGTCCACGAACAAGTCTGACAGACTAGTCTGAAAAGTTGACTAGTCCAAACACCCTTTTCAAAAGTGGAAAAGTGTATTGCGCATGTGCGAAATTAAATTAACTAATTCGCCTGAATTTCTTACAAAGACAAAATTTAGTTTCAAAAAGAAAAAAAGACAAATGTTTACTGACTTTTATAATGTTTTAAGAATGTTTTCGAATTTTCGTTTCATATCTTATTAAAATAAACTTGTGAAGAAATTACCAAAAAATCCAAAGGTTGGAAGTATTTTACAAATGATTTGCCTAAAAAAACGAAAATATATAAATATTGTTTCCAAAGTGTTTTTGAAAAACATCCAGGATGGAGATTTAACTAGGCGTTTTCCATGCTCAAGGTCGACTACTTTTCATTACTTTTCCGGACATGTCTGTCGGACTAGTCCAAAATAGTATATTACATTACGAGTGTGGAAAATCACTTTTCACACAAGTGATGTACAATATTTTTCCTACGACCACAAAATAATTTCATCAAAAAATGTAAAACCAGGTGATTATTATAATTCAAATGTATTTATTTATTTATTTACGGGAAAACCCCATTTTACAATAAAAAATATATGTTATATGCACAAATACAAAATAAAAAACAACATCAAAAATTGTATCATGTAAAACATTTGATTAAAACATATGATTAAAACATTTGATTAACAAGGCAGACAATAACAGTACTTTCAAGTGTCATTAAGAAAGTGGTTAGAAATACTTCTTTTAAATGAAGGATATGACGAACCAAAAAAATCCAAGTCTATTTCTATACTGTTAGCACTCCTAACCAATCGTGTTGATGGACTATAAAAGCCGTAATTTCGTCTATGGTGTCTAATAAAAAAAGTTTCATTAGCTCTGGTTGCACTATTAATTTTAAGACCAATTTTTAATGAAATATCAGGAGAATATATTGACCCAGACAAAAGTTTGAATAGGAAGCATAGATCTAATTGAGTTCTCCGGTTCTGCAAAGTTGTGATCTCTAATCTGGAACATAGGTTAGCATAATCATAATTATTTATACGCACTCCTAATTTATATGCTGAGCATCTCAGAAACTTATGTTGAACCGTTTCAAGTCTATAAATGTGAATGCAATAATAAGGGTTCCAGACAACAGCTGCATATTCCATATTAGAACGAACAAGAGTGCAGTAAAGAATTTTAAAAGAATTTATTGGGGAAAAAATAATCAACAATAATCGTGTACTTATTCAATTTTCATATTTTCTAAAAAAAAAAAAAAAAAATCCTGGCCCTGCCAGGATTTGAACGCGATCGCTCGCCAGGTCTCAAATGGCAAAGTTGATAAGTTTGACGCTCTAACAATCTGAGCTAATAGACCTTGCGTCAATTGAATGATCTAATCGGTTATGTGTTTAACCAGAATAAAGAGATAACATATCTTAGTTATTTTAAAATTATTTTAATAATAATTGTTAAAGATAAATAACTAGGATCTAATTTACAACAATTTCAATAATTTAACAATCATATCGATTTTAGTATTAATATGGACATTACATAGATCAAAATAGAAATGTGTTTGACATTTTGTGACAGCTGCTGCAGAAAGTAGCATATTCGTACACGAGTGGAAAGTAAATTCTTACTCATAGGCGTGTGATATAGGGCACTTTCCATAGGACTATATAGTGTGATATGTGTCACTTTCCTAAGTGGTCGTAGGAAAAATTTGTTTTTTATAAGTTATATGATTACAAAAATTAGAATTTTTTCCAATTAAAAGCATCACAACCAGATTACCTAGTTAAAAAAATTCTAAAACATTATTCCATTCAAACAATGTAGGAATTTATAACGTGACTTCGTTTTATTTTGACTAATGTATTATTAAAATAGCGTCTTCTGTTTTGTCTACTTACATAATTAATAGAGTCATCTTCAGGTCTAACAGCGTTCTTGTGATTTTTCATTTTTTCTATCAAACTCTTATAAAATCCATAACTAAAATAATCACTCTTAACAACTAACGGTTCCAATATGAACCAAAGACACTGTTTCGCTTTCGTCAGCTCTTGTACATCATCCCATTTGGTAAGATGTGGGTCGTGAGCCAAAACGGGTACGGCAAATACAAGCATGTAATCGGGTAGTATGTGAGGCAGCTGACTTAACGCCTTGTCCGTTTGTCCCGTGCCCATTGTCAATGTTTTAACGTAGTCGCGTCGTCTGTTTATGTCAGCTATCATGTAGTTTCGGATTGTAGTACGAAGGCGGTTTTCTTGTTCACGTCCAGCCAAGGCATAGTAGCCCATAAAGTCCAATGGTAAACATTTGTTTGGCAGTCCCTTGTTTAGACCTAAAATTAATAATAATGAAATATTATCCATCTTCTCAAATGTTGTCAATTTTCTTGAAGAAAGAGTAAAACTCGAAATAGAAATTGCAGGTGCGAGTAGTTTCAGCCTATAATCTTTAGTAAATAACTTAAAAATAAAAACATCAATATGGTTCCATGTTAAACTAAAGAGTTATGACAGTAAGAGGGTAGATGAGTGTATTAATAATTACAAAAATGTACTAAAAACTAATAATAATAATAAATGCAAAAATTTTGAATTTAGGAGATAAAGGAGATTACAAAAAACAGTGAGATAAAAGAAAGGAGACGAGGACATTTAACAATGTAACTACTTTTGATGGTGGGACCACCAATTATTTCTTGACTGGTTGAGTAATGTGAAAAGCCTTAAGGCAGGTTTAAACGCCCTTATTGTGTAACGAGCATTTTATACTCGTTAGGATTTAATTTTTTCGTATATTTATTATTCAACCAGAAAAGATAATAAATAGTGTTAGGGTTATTGGAATTCTTATTTCGTATTTAATATTTAAAAGTAACTTTTCGAGTGCACCCTGTATTCCAATTCAAAGGCAATCTAATGTTCTTTGCGTGGATGACGCTAAGCAACGTCAAAGGAAGGGATACGAGAGGTATAAAAGGCCATGCATCGAAAAAGCCGGTAGCATTTGTTTTGTAAATTCCTCTTTCTTTCTGTTCTTATCCCCGGAGAGTTTAGTTTTAATCGAAGCAAGGTTATCAAGTGAAGGGTTTAATGTTTAGCTATAGGTAAGGTAGAGCGTTTTCTTTATTTTATCTTTAAGGTAAATTGTTGGCTAAATGCTGCGTTAGAGCGTTGTATATCGACTAAGGGTATTTGTTGCAGGAATGTTTTAGTGATTAACAGATGTATATTCCATTAATTTAGGTCTATCTCGTTAGTTAGGGGTAGATTTTAGTAATTTGAGTTGAACAAAGAAGTTTTCAACTATTTAGATTTTTTTTTTTTTTCGAGAAAAAGCCATTTTGCGTTTTAACTCAAGATAAGGGATTTTAACCTTTATTGCGTCGTTATTGGACATGGCTCATTTTAAGTTTAATACCTGCAACGAATTTTAATCTTTATCATCTCGTTATTTAAGACTGTGTCAATTTGTCCATGGCTTATTTAGTGATTTGATTTTTAATTTTATAATAATTTGTTCATTGTTTTTTCTCTATCGTGTAACAAATCGATGAAACGTTAATTACTGGATTATATTAATTTTTTGATTAATTTATTCTTCCTAGTGCTATATTACTTATCACCATGAAATATTAAACCTAATTCACTGATAATACAGCGGAGATAAAGCGACTTCCGGGCAGCTTATATACAAAGGTTGCTTCTATCTTTCTTCTCTCATCTTTTCTTTTCACTTTCTTAGTATTTTTTTAATAATTAATTTAGGCATAGTTCCTGATCAAGGAAGCAACGTAACTAAATGCCGGTTAATTAATAAAAAAATGACCCTACTCTACTATCCTATTTCCTTTTAAGTTTTTCATTATTTTATTATTTGGGGGATTTTTATATATAACCCACAGGGTTATATGGCGTATGGGATTTAAGTTAATAGAATTAAAATTTTTGGCAACTGTAGGTTATTTTCTTTTTGCAATCATTGTTTAATGATTTTGAGTGACAAATCTCATACATTTATGAGATGGGGTATTTTTCAAGTGATCCATGTTGAATAGATTCACAGCCATTTAAATTTAATTGAATCCTTTTCATATTTGCGATGCCACTTCATGGTTTTAAAGTAATCAGGGGTTTTATTATTAAATGGTAATGTACCTTAAGTAAAGTGGATTTATTTTTGCTAATGAATAGTAGCTATTTCTAAGTAATTTTCTAAGTTTGGTATGAACCCTACCAACTAAGCTTAACTTTAGCATCAGCGCTATCAAACTTTTAAGTTTTAGTTAATTTTCTTAGTAGCTTTTTCCACACATATGGATGTAATTATTGAAGACTAAAAAGTTTGAGACCTAGTCAGGGGTATATTTTTGGGGAATAATAGTATTCCTTCTTTATTATCAGTCTTTTGGGCAATTTACGTAACCTCAGGGGTAGTAAAGAACGTCTTTTAACCACCATTGTTCTGTGTTTGCAATATAAGTAGTTCACACACATATGTTTCATTTTCATGCACTGGAGTATTACCGATGACAATTTAAGCGAACAGACCAGAAAAAGTTTTGAACGTAGTAGATCAAAGTGGAGATCTAGTACCTCAGCCTCAGAACTTAGGTGAATCTGCAACGTAGAGCATCGAGAGACCTTATAGATCACCTCCAGAACTATCTCTCAGCTTAGTCATTCAGTAACAAGCAACGAAACTGCTGCAATTGTCAAATGTCCTCCTCTCCCATATAAAGGAGTTCATCCGTGATTACCTAACTTCAAAAAATTTGCATTTGTAATTATTAGTTGTACTGTCATAACTGTTCAGTTTAACATGGATCCATATTGATGTTTTTTAATTTTTATTTAAGCAATCACTGTCTGAAGATGGCTTTATAGGCCGAAACTATTAGCACATCTAATTTATATTTGTTTCAATAAATATATTGTGGTATTGATTTCGATATTTCTTCAATATTTTTAGACAGTAAGTAAAGCATGACTGAGGAAGAAAAGTTATACTGTGCAAATGTGCGCTTGAAGGTGCCACCCCTTCGAAGGGGTGGCATAAAGTACACTCGAAAAAACGATAGCAATAGATTGAATTATTTTAAGAAAAACATGTTCTATAAGTTTTTTTTTGATAAATCAATGTTTTTCGAGTTATTCATGAGAAACAAATGAAAGTAAAAAAAGGAAAATAATTCCAACAAATGAAGGCTTTATTAGAAACGAATCGATTGATATCTTTTAATTTCTGTAGATGCAATCAATTATATGAATTCTAGTGATGAAAAGGTTTAAGTAAATAAGAAAATAACATTTACCTTTATGTAATTTTGTCGCAAAAATTTCACGAACTTGCTTCACTTCATCTGTCATCAACTGGGACAAATTATAAAACTGTTCAGCAGTATATTGATCACCTACGCCTTTCTGTTCACAAACCTTCAACATAGCACATCCAGCAGCTAATCTCAACCAAGACATTTCGGCCTTGGACAACCTTCCAGATTGCAACAGATCTCCCTTGTGCAATATGAAAGCGTTCAACATCCTGAACGTTTTTTGCGCGGACGCCGTGTCTTGTTTCAAACCCAAAAGCCATCGTGCCATAGCTTTTAGGCCTTCAACTTTGCATCTCGTTTCTTCTGGCAGTTCATCTTCGGAACACCAAGCTTCACCGTCACCAGAATCTATATCACCTTCTCTGGCTTCTTTTACTAACAGTTCTTTAACAATCTTAAATAAAAAATGCATATAATAATTACTAGTTACAGAGGTAAACATATTATTGAAAAATAGGAATATACATAAGAGAACTCGGACAGTAGCAAAATTAACTTTGTTATTTAGATTTCTGAGAAGATAGGGGCTGATAATTGTTATTGTAGGATTCTTACAATGGGAAATTCTCATAATTTATTTAAGAAACTGATTCGTGATTGTAGCAACATTGTCGTTTATAGGAACTTGATTGGCTTACTTAACTCATTGTATACATAAATGCTTTATTTAGTCAAAAACAACTAATACATAAGCAATACTTTCTCACTAAAAATGTCTATATATAAAAGTTATTAATCTAATTGTAGTTATATAAAATAAAATATAATTAAACAACAAACATAGAACAATAATATTAACAATAAATACTTCAATACCTAAATTGATTCTAATTTCTTTAGATCTTTTGGAAAGTCATTAAATTGCCGTAAAAAGATTAAATTTTGAACATGACTGGTATTGACGGTCTTAATATAAAAATCATTTCTAAGCCTCGTATTATGGGTGTGAAAATGATGGTTGTAAATAATTTTATGTTGGAGATAGTCAGGGGCGTGAACTATACACCCCACAAAAATTATTGCATCACTAAAATGTTTGCAATGTATGTTTATAAAAACAGGCAGTGCTAAAAAAAAACTGTATTTCTCCTCTAATGACAGAGAGAATAAAACAATCAAAAAAATAAAATTTTGTGAAAAATGAGGCTAAAGTAGTCTATTAATTATATTATAGCATGCTATTATTGCTGGTACACTCCACAGGGTGTTACGAATTTTCCAACCAAAAACCTATATTATTGTAACATCCGGTATACACTCTAAAATTAAATTTTATTTAAAGAATCAAAGAGATTACTATTCCTGAAGAATCAACTTATCTTCCAAAAAAAGAATATCCAAATCAATCAAACGGTTCAAAAAAAACTCCGAATTTTTGAAAACTATTAGTGATGCGATAATTTTTGTGGGGTGTAAATTTTCATTTTAAATATAAAAATTAATGTTTGGTAAAGGAACATGTCTTTAATTGAGATCCAGTTTAAAGATATCCGCATTTCTACAGTAGACGTCAATCTAGGACATGATAATATTCGCATAGCTCTATTCTGCAACTTTTGGAATCGATTTCTTTCATTTTGATTTAAGAGATATAATACTGTTAAGCAGAAAGTGAAGTGAGGTAGTATTAGAGAATTAAATAAAACCAGCCTTGACCACTTAGATAAATTCTGTGAACATCTGTAAAGATAATTTATTTTAAATGAAATTTGTCTAATTAAAGGGTTTGCGTGCTGTTTAAATTTAAGTTGTCGATCTATAATAACTCCCGAGATATTTGAATTCATCTACCATATCAATTTCCGAATGCCCAATCATTGTTTTAAGATCTTGTTCGACAAAGAGTTTATATTGCTGTTCATTACCAATTATGATGAATTTGGTTTTTTTTACGATTAATATTTAATAAATTAGCACAACACCAACTCTAAACAATTTCTAAGCACTTATGAACCATTGTAACAGTATCTATTGTATTTAGAAAAGAATAGTAAATGAAGGGTTCATCTGCAAATAAGTGAAATTAACATTTAGTCTGAATATTTGTAATGTCATTAATATAAAAAAAAAACAAGGGACCTGGAACATTTCCTTGTGGTACACCTCGTTTTATTTCTAACTCCTCAGATACAAAGTTTTTAATTTTTACTTTTTGCCTTCTATTTGTTAAATAGTTTGAAATGCATTCCAATACTGTACCACTAAACCCTGTTCATTCTAACTTCTTTATGAGTCTATTCCTATTAACCGTTTCAAACACCCTTTCAAGGTCCAGAAAAACACCCTCCGACAGTAACATATTTTTTATTAAGATCTCCTTTCAAATCATTCAGCACACATTGTACTGCAGTTTCGCATGCATATTTACTTCGAAAACCGATTAAACTTTAGTTAAAAATTTGTATCTTTCTATGATCAACAATTTTGTTCATAGACTCATTTTTCTAAAAAAATTTTAAAGCGCAAATATATTTATTGGTTTGAAATCAGAAGCCTTATTAGATTTTGAAACTTTAGAAACTGGAGGAAATCTTGATATCATCTGGGACCTTACCAAATTCTAAAGAGGTATTGACATTATTTATCAAGGGTTTAGCAATTGTAAAATACAAAATGAACTAACCGTTCAAATATATTTTCAAAAATGATCCAAATATGGAATAGAACCAGAAACAGTAAAACTTATAAAAAAACCAGATATTAAAAAATCGATTTGACTTTTTATTGAAAAGATACTTCTAAAACATATATCATATTGACAAATATAATCAAAAAGATCAAGTTAACAAAAACATATACTGAATGTTACAAAATAAAAATATGATTCAGTTTTAACATTCTCCCACCATGAGTCTTGATCTTGGTAAAGAAGACTCAATAGCCATATCTGTCGACCTTTTTAATTTCGCGCCCACACCTAGTAGTCTTCACGGGTTTTCTCGGAGTGGGTGCCGCTGACAACTCATCATCCGACAATTCTTCATTTCCTTGTTTCGGTAAATCGGTGTTATTATCCAAAATGTCATATACTTCTTTCAAGTATTCAGATTCGTCATCGGCAAAAACTTCTAATGGATAGAGTCTCTGAACAGGTCTACTAAGAATTCCTTTTGATGTCTTCACTGTTACCATACGTACTTTTCCATCCTTTCCAATAACAACCTCTTGAATAATACCCAAAGGCCAATCTATCTTTTTAGATTTTTCACTTTCAATTAAAACAACTTCACCTTTCGTTATTGATCTTGTCCCTAACTTTTTATTAGAAAATACTAATTGCCCTAAGTATTCATTCCTAAATCTTTTCCTAATACACTCAACTAAATGTTGCTTACGTTTTAAATGTTTTTGCAGAGAAACTGATTCAGCTTTATCTAAATCAGGAACTTGATTCTCTGCAATATCTTGAATGAACATTGCAGGTGTTAATGGTAACAAATCTTTATTGCTGCTGTAAGTATAAGTTAACGGTCTAGAATTCATAATAGCTTCACAATCGCAAATAACAGTTGATATCTCTTCATAATTTAAACTAGATTTACCTAAAACTTTCCTTAAAATTTGTTTTAAAATCCTCATCAGTCTTTCCCAAAACCCACCCCACCATGCAGCAGCTGGCGGGTTAAATCTCCACTCTATTTTTTCAACAGAAGAATACTGATGAATATTATCCCAATCTAAAGAACTTAAAATATTTTCACATCCTACAAAATTAGTACCGTTGTCGGAGTATATTATGGAAGGACGGCCTCGCCTTGCTATAAACCTCCTCAAACAATTCAAAAAACTTTCTGTTGAACAACTTAAAACAACCTCTAAATGAACAGCTCTATAAACACTACATGTAAAAAGACACACCCAAACCTTATCACCATTCTTCAAAAATAAAGGTCCAGTCAAGTCAACTCCAACAATTTCAAATGCCCTTGCATTTTTCACTCTATCTCTAGGTAAAACAACAGAAGGGGTATCGAATTTTTTAGAATCAAATCTACGACAAACGGTACACTTCAATAAAATTCTCCTAATATTTTTCCTACCCTTAACAATCCAAAAATTTTCCCTTAAAATACTTAGTAATGTTTGCACACCAGTATGACCATTATTACAATGAATTTGATATACCATTCTTTGAACTATTGGGTGCTGACCGGGTAACAAAATAGGAGTCAAAAAATGTACTGAATCGTCCCTTTGAAGAATCCTAGTTTAAATTCTTATAATACTATCGGAATCTAAAAAAGGATGCAAACATACAATATCCCTATCGTCCACACCTTTAAAACTTTCTTTCTGAATACATTTTATGATAAATTTTTCAGCTTCGTCCCTCTCTTGCTTTAATAAATACCCTTCCTGCCTTCTCTTATTCTTGTTTAAACAATTATACATAAACCTCCTTATCCAGCCTAAAAGATTCACGATCTGTGAATACTTAGAAAAATATCTGAAAAATACTGAATAATCAACTTCAGCATTTAATAATGAAGAAAGGGTGTTCCTTTTTTCCTTAGATACTAATTCTTCCTCAACTACGTATTTCTGCAGAGGCCACTTGGAAACATTCAATAACCAACTCGGTCCCTCCCACCAAGAAGATTGTAAAAGCTTTTTAGGAGAACAACCTCTCGAAACAAGATCGGCAGGATTCAAACTCCCTGCAACATGATACCAATCTTCCTTTCTGGTGAGAGTACGTATTTCTTTTACCCTATTCCAAACAAATGGTTTCCACATATCTTCTCTACCAATCCAGGATAGAACAGTAGTTGAATCGGTCCAACAATAAACATCAACTTTTCCAAAAGGCAAATTTTTTAAAACAAAACTCAGCAACCTCGAACCAAGAGTAACCGCTAACAACTCCAGCCTACAAATACTCAATTTTTTGATAGGACAAACACGATTCTTTGCCGCAACCAACTCTACAACGACTCCACTAGCTGACTCTGTCCTTAAAAACACTACTGATCCATAAGCCTGCTGACTCGCATCACAAAATAAATGAAAACTATGATGAATTAAGCCAGAAACCGGATTTTTTAAAACCCATCTGGGAATTTCTAAAAAAGCCAAAATACTTAAATCTCCAACCCAGTCTAAGAATTCCTTCTTAATGTCATCAGGTACCTCAACATCCCAGCCTATTTTCTGAACCCAAGTTTTCTGTAAAAGAATTCGAGGAACAAGTTGAACAGGGCACGAAAAACCAATAGGGTCAAATAAACGGTGAGCTATTGATAAAATTAATCTTTTCGTAACCACATCCAACTTAATATCCTGAAACCATTCCATATTTAACATTAATGTATCCCTCTGACGATTCCAATTTAAACCTAAAACAGGTGAAACTACATTTCCTAAAACCTGATCATCAAGGACAGTATGCTCCCA